AATTCTTTCAATGCATTTTGGACTTCCTCCCTGAGTATCATTGGCTCTTGTTCATATGGTACCTCTTGAAATGGTTGAACTTTTGCTTAAGTCATAATAAAAAGCTAAAAAAAAAAAAAAAAAAAGACTATGTCTTCTAAGTTTCCTTTAATCTGTAAGTTCTCCATCCATTCCTTTCTTTTCTCACAATTGGTCTGTTGCAGAATCTAGAACAAATTTTATTTATTTCTGAAAGTTAAGTGCCAAGTAGAAGAACCACACCCAAAGAAGCTATCTTAATGCTGTAAGTGTAGTACACATTTTTTTCTTTTATATTGTTGTCGTTAAGTGCCATCGAGTGGGTTCTGATTCATAGCGACCCTGTACGGGGTTTCCGAGGAGCAGATGGTGAGTTTGAACCCTTAATGCTATAAGTGTAGTACACATTTTTTTCTTTTATATTGTTGTTGTTAGGTGCCATCGAGTGGGTTCTGATTCATAGTGACCCTGTACGGGGTTTCCGAGGAGCAAATGGTGAGTTTGAACCGCTGATCTTGCAGTTCAAACCAAACTTGTGACCCAGTGCTTATCCTACAGTGCCACACCACAACTCCTTTTTCTTTTAAGTTGTTAGGTACCATTGAGTCAGTACCGACTCATAGCGACCCTATGCACAGCAGAATGAAAACACTGCCTGATCCTGGGCCAACCTCACTACTGTTGCCACGCTTGAGTCCATCGATGCTGCCACTTGGCCAATCCTTCTCATTGGGGGTCTTCCTCTTTTCCTGACCCTCCACCCTACCAAATATGATGTCCTTCTCCAGTGACTGTTCCCTCCTGACCCTGGGGATCTTCCTTGATGTTCTCTTCTCCCGTATATCTCACACCTCCAGTCACTAAGCACTGTCCATGCTGTTATTACTATTAAGGGTTGTGTCGACTCAGTTCCAATTCATAGGGGCTGTCTATAGAGTTTTTGAGGCTGCAAATCTTTACAGGAGTGGAAAAGCTCATGTTTCTCCCAAGTGGCTAGTGGTCTCAAACTGTAGACCTTGTTGTTAGACAACCATTTATTATTCTATAGAGCCACCAGTGATTCTACTGTCTTAAAAAAAATAGCCTATTTCTTCATGCTTTTCACTGCTTGTCCACTCTTCTTCATCCTATTCCAACATTGTCTTCATTTTTTGCCTGTACTGTGTAACAGCCTAGACCTTCCTAGTACCAACAACTCCGACCCTTTCATTATCTGAATTTCATGATTCCCACTCTGATTATTACCTCCTATATTTTCATCTTATTCTCTCTTGTACCTGACCCCAACAGGCCTTCCAATTACTCGATCCTACCATCTTTTCAGTCTGCCGTGACATTCTGTTGCTCTCCCATCTTTGGCCAGTGTCGATCTCAGGGTCAATCATAATTATTTCTATACCTAGGCCCTTCATTCCCTTGCTCCTCCCCAACTTCATGCTACTCCCTTGGTAAACCATCACCATGGTTAAAACCCAACTTTCCTACTCTGCACTTGCATCTGAGAAACATAGCACCACATTTATCTGTCTTTCTTTAGATTCCTAACCATGAACCTCAGAGTGAGCCTCAATGCTACTAAGCACTCACACTGTCCTGGTTCCTTTTCTCACTCACTAGTGACTCCCCTAACTGGTCATTTCACACCTTGTTCTCTCACTTCAAACCCCCAAAATTTGTTCCCAAGGGGTGAATCTTGAAACTGGAAACTTGTGAATTGAGTGCAGATTTACAGACAAGATCATCAGTTTTACATTCAACAAATCATATACTTTGTTTCATCTCAATGATTGAAATTACCCCCATGTAACAACTGTCATCCACTTCCTCCCTGTGGTTCTTATCTCCCTTACACCCTCCTTCTTAACTTTGTTCTTAGATAAATGTCGCCATTTTGATCTTGAATGATTGACCATTCCATGGTGAGTATACCTTACTAGTGTTGTTGTCCCCCGTACCCTGTAAACTTATCTACTGCTTGACTGAAAATGGGGTCATGAGGGTGAATTGGAAAATGGATTAACAAACTTTGGTACCTATATACAATGGAATACTATGCATCTTTGAAGAATAGCAATGCATCTGCAAAACACTTCCCAACATAGATGAACCTGGAGGACATTATGCTGAGTGAAATTAGTCAATCACAAAAGGACAAATATTGCATGAGACCATTATTGGAAAAGCTTAAGAAAAGATTTCCATACCAAAGGAAACATTCTTTGGTGGTTACCAGGGATGGGAAGGAGGGGAGATTTAATTCACAGGTTAGAGGGTAGACACATGTTAGTTTGGATGATGGGAGGGCAATAGACAAGAAGAGGGAGGGTGGCAGATGAACAATGCAGCCTTTAATATTTTAAAGAAGCCATTTGCAGCAGATTGTCCAACACAGTATGCCAGTTGATTTCTTGACTGCTGCTTACACTAAGAGCACTGACTATGGTACTAATTTCTGCATATAAATGTAGTTGAAAATGTCAAGTAAAATTAAGTCCTTGACAATGTTGATCTCTTCTGTTTATCATGATGTTTATTAATCAAGTTGTGAGGCGTTTTGTTTCTGTACACTGAGTTGCAATCCGCACTGAGAGTTGTATTCTTTGATATTCATGAGTAAGTGTGATTCAGGTCGTCTTCACTTTCAGCAAGCAAGGTTGTGTCATCTGCATGTGGCAGTTTATCAATGAGTTTTCCTCTAATCCTGATACCCCAATTTTATTCATACACTCCAGTTTCTTGCATATTTCCTCAGCATACAAATTAAATGTAGTGTAAGGATACATGCTAATGCACACCTTTCCTGATTTTGAACCATACAGTATCTCCTTGTTGAGTTCGAATGACTTCCTCTTAGTTTAAATACAGGTTCCACAAGAGCAAAATTAAGTGTTCTGAATTCCCATTCCTCACAATGTTATCCATAATTTTTACAATCCACACAGTCAAATGCTTTTGCATAGCAATAAAACACAGGTAGACAGACATCTTTCTGGTGTCCTCTGCTTTTAGCCCAAACCCATCTGATATCTGCAATGAAATCCCCAGTTCCACGTCCACTTCTGAATCCTGCTTGAATTTCTGGCAGCTTCCTGTCTATGTACTGAAGTAATCAACTTGGAATTATCCTCAGTAAAATTTTACTTGTGTGTGATATTAATGATATTGTTCGATAATTTCCACATTCTGTGGGGTCATCTTCAGAATGGGCACAAATATGGATCTCTTTCAATCGGCTGACCAGCTAGTTGTCTTCTTAATTTCTTGGCATAGACTAGTGAAGGTTTCCAGTGGTGTGTCAGTTTGCTGAAACACTTCCATTTGGTATTCTGTCAATTCTTTATTATAGAGTTTCCGAGGAGCGGCTGGTGGATTTGAACTGCTGGCCTTACAGTTAGCAGTCCACTGCTTATACTACAGTGCCACACCAGAACTCCACATAAATAAACTGCAGTAAATCAGAGAAGTAAAATTTCTGATCTTGCTCTTATTCCCTGGTGGGATAAAACTGATACTTCAGAGCTAACCAAATTTTTCCCACTTAAAGTTCCAATGCTAAAAACTCTCCCAAATGTTGAATTAGCAAAAGTTGTGTGATAGATATATTTATATGTTTTTGCTGTTATCAGAGTTAACACATAAGTCACCACATACTATAACAAATTGACAAACAAGTGGTGATCTAATAGCTATAATGGGTGTGAAGTAGTATCTCACTGTAGTTTGGATTTATAACTTCCTGATGACTAATATTTTTGCACTAAAGTTTTAAATTTTGATTAAGTCCAGTTTATCTATTTTAAAAATTTTAATGCTTGTGCTTTTATTACACTCTTAAATCCAAGGTCATGAAAACTTTTCCTATGCTTTTTAAAAAAGAGTTTTATACTATCTATGGGGGTTTTGGCAGGAGGAAGAAATGATACATGCACTAGAGGGTAGACACGCATTGACATGGGTGACGGAGTATATCTCCAATATACAACTGGAGAAAAAGGTTGGCAGGGGAAAGATGGGGGTGGCGGAAGACACAGAAGAATGCAGTGGTTTAAGTGAATAGAGGTAAATGCTGTTAACTGTTGGTGCATGGAAGGGATTGCAGCCATATAATGAAGGAAGTAGAGTATATGAATTGTTTAATGTAGAACTGATGATCTGCTCTGTAAACCCACTCAATTTACAATAAAGTTTTTTAAAAAAATGCTACAAGGATTCCATAATAAACTTGTGTTGATTTTGGCAAAAAAAAAAAAAAAGACTTATATTTAGATTTTTGATCTGTCCTTCACTTTGAAGGTAGAAACACCATCAATTTTCTTCACTAAATGTGCCTCTTACTTTGAAAGCTTTTTATCAGTCACTTTGAAGATAAGATTTATCACTAAATGGTACATGTTTGTTGTTGTTAAGTGCTTTCGAGTTGGTTCCAATCCATAGCAACCCTGTATAGGGTTTCCACAGAGCAGCTGGTTAGCTTGAACTGCTGACCTTGCAGTTCAAATGACTTTGCAGTCTGGTGCATTAACTTACACCGCCAACGAAAAGATATCTTGACCTGAGAGTTAGCGTACAGTGAAGAAAGTAGGAACAATTGTGGAGGCTAAACTGAGATGTCGCTAAAATTTAGAGTATCAGAGTAAAATGTAAGAAACAAATAACTCTTGTGTTTCACACAGACAAAACCCAAATTCTTTGTGTGATTTTAAAGTTTATATGCTGTATAAGGAAATAAGCAGGTGATTATTTCTTCTTACCTCTTGAATATTGAACCTTAGGATCTCCTTCATGTAAGTAGGCAATAATGTCAATAAAGTATAAAAAGTCCAATTGTATGAAAAATGTGCAACTACAATAGCAAAAAGTGGCAGTGACTTTAGCATGGGAATCCACGGCACTGATTTCTGTGAAGAAAGCTGAAGAAAACAGGCTTAATTAGGGTATGCTACAGGGGAGTTTGTGCTTAGATTTATACTTTATCAACTAAACTTTCATCTAGAACACAAAAAATACCAGCCTTGATTAGTAAATCCTAATTTTTAAATCAACTCTGATGAAATGTTAAATAGCAAAATACATGAAGTACATAAACGTTTAGAAGTTTCATCTTTTATATATGTATATATGTGGAGTCTTGGTGTGGTGCTGCAGGATAATGCACTGAACCAAAAGGTCAGTTTGAGCTGCAAGGTTGGTGGTTCAAACTCACCAGCTGCTCCTCAGAAACCCTATGTTGTTAAGGGCCGTTGAGTCATTTCTGACTCATAGTGACTCTGTATAGAGTTTCCAAGGAACGACTAGTGAGCTTGAACCACCAACCCTGCGGTTCAAACCAAACTTGCAGTCCAGCACATTAACCTGCAGCGCCACACCAGGACTACAAATTTATAAACAATATTAATAGAGATTTTATTACTTAGATTACAGGGAAAAATGGAAATGCAATCTTAAGAGGTACAATGTCAGCCCTAAATACTTATTGATGTCAGAAATAAGAGAATTTCTCCACCTATAAAATAGAGAAAAGTTTCATAATCACACATTCAGGGGTTGATATAGGGTAAGGGAAAGAGTTTGGAAGGTCCTGGTAAGATTCCTTTATTCAGTTAAAATGATTTATAAAAACGGAATAACAGGTGTTTATATGGAATCATCTGGAATAGTAGTCTTCAGAGTAGACCCTTCTTCACATAAGGAGGCAGTAATGTGTTTGTGTGTGTGTGTATATATATATACACACACACTCACGCATGTACACGATCTAAATATCCTAGGGGTAAGCAAGATAATCTACTGGGATGTGAAAGAAATACCAGAACTTGTATTTCTACTCATTTTATTTTAAAACAGAATTAAATAGCTTCTATTAGTAATTAATAAATAGTCTGGTCCAGAAGCATGCTAGACACTTACTGTATGTATGAGTCTCTGAGTCAGAAGGGCGGATAGATAATGGCATCTTCACTCATTACCCCTCAGTGTTTTACTGTATATACACCTGACATGTGCCTATTTATGTGGCTTTAACTATGCAGTTTTCATTAAAGCAAGTCTCGCCAAATTAACAGTGACTTTAATAGATTTCTGCAGTGAAACATTCAATATAAGATAATTTTTATAATGCAAGTACAAGTAAACATTAAGAATATAGTAGAGTTGACACTTCTAGTCCTCCTAAGAGTCCTATATAAGCCACCTCACCAAGAAAAATAATGATTGTTGTTGTTAAGTGCCGTCAAATTGGTTCTGCCTCACAGCAAATCCTGCATAGGGTTTTCAAGGAGTGGCTGCTGGGTTTGAACTGCTGACCCTGAGGTTTGCAGTCCAGTGCCTACCCTACAGTGCCAGACCAGGACTCCAAAATAATCACAAGCCTATCAAACATGACATAGTCAAACACATCATCCCCATTAAATATTATTATTACTAATTTTTAAGTGACAGCAAAAAAAGTTTTTCCTATTTAAAAAAAGCATTTCTTACTTCATTTTAGTCTTTGTAAGTTTCATGTATGTTTTATAATATATATGGCATAGTTATAGGTAGATAAATTATTAATGTATACATCCAGATTGTGTCCCACTTTTATATGGTTAAGCTGCATGATCAAAAGTTTGGAGACCACTGATCTGGAGACTGAGACTGTGTAGTTTCTTGAAAGCAAGAACACAACCTATATTACTGCCTCTAGGGTTCATAGTCTTCTTCTTTTGAGCTGTCTCCTCAAAGTAGAGTTGATCGTGATGATGCAAATGGAGTAAAGCCCGTGGGAGTAAAGCCCACAGGACCTTCATTTGCTGATGGGGCACAACTCAAAATGAAGAAAAACAGCTGTAAACATCCACTAATAATTGGAACATGGAATGGACGAAGTATGAATCTAGGAAAATTGGAAATTGCCAAAAATGAAATGGAACACATAAACATCGATATCTTAGGCATTAGTGAGCTGAAATGGACTGGTATTGGCCATTTTGAATATGACAACCACATGATTTACTATGCTGGGAATGACAAATTGAAGAGGAATGATGTTGCATTCATTGTCATAAAAAACATATGCAGATCAGTCATAAGGTACAATGCTGTCTGTGATAGGATAATATCCATGCGCCTACAGGGAAGACCAGTTAATACCACTATTATTCAAACTTATGCACTAAAGCCAGTGAGGATGAAATAGAAGAATTCTACCAACTTCTTAATCTGAAATTGATCAAACATGCAATCAAGATGTATTGATCATTACTGGTGACTGTAATGCAAAGGTTGGGAACAAAGAGGAAGGATCAGTAGTTGGAAAATATGGCCTTGGTGAGAGAAATGATGCTGGAGATCGCATGATAGAATTCTGCAAAATCAATGATTTGTTCATTTCAAATACCTTCTTTAGATAGCATAAGAGATAATTACACATGTGGATCTCACTAGATAGAATACACAGAAATCAAATAGATAGAATACACAGAAATCAAATCATCTGTGGAAAGAGATGATGGAAAAGCTCTATATCATCTTTCAAAACAAAGCCAGAGGCAGATTGTGGAACTAATCATTAATTGCTCATATGCAAATTCAAACTGAAGCTGAAGAAAATAAAAACAAGTCCATGAGAGCCAAAATATAACATTGAATATTTTCCACCTGAATTTAGAGATCATCTGAAGGACAGATTTGACACATTAAACACTAAAGACCAAAGACCAGAAGAGTTGTGGGATGACATCAAGAACATCATATAGGAAGAAAGCAGAAAGGCATTAAGATGACAAGAAAGAAGGAAAAAAATCAAAATGGATGTCAGAAGAGACACTGAAACTTGCTCTTTAGTGTAGAGATGCTAAAGAAAATGGAAGAAATGAGGAGGTAAAAGAGCTGAACAGAAAATTTAAAAGGTCAGCTTGAGAAGACAAAGTCAAATATTTTAACAATATGTACAAAGATCTTGAGTCAGAAAACCAAAAAGGAAGAACACGCTCAGCGTTTCTCAAGCTGGGGGAACTGAAGAGAAAATTCAAGCCTCGACTTTTGTTATTGAAGGATTCTCTGGGCAAATTATTGAATAATGCAGAAAGCATAAGAGAAGATAGAAGGAATGCACAGAGTCACTGTACCAAAAAAGAAATGGTTGATGTTCAAATCATTTCAAGAAGTAACATACGATCAAGAACCAATACTACTGAAGAAGGAAGTCCAAGGTGCATTGAAGGAATTGGCAAAGAACAAATCACCAGGAATTGATGGAATACAAATTGAAATCTTTCAAGAAAGTGAGGTGGCACTGTAGGCACTCACTCATCTATGCCAAGAAATTCGGAAGACAACTGTCTGACCGACTGATTGGAAGAGATTCATATTTGTGCCCATTCCAAAGAGAGGTGACCTAATGGAATGCATAAATCATCAGACAGTATCTTTGATATCCCATGAGAGTGAAGTTTTGCTAAAGATAATACAGAAATGGCTGCAAGCATACATTGACAGAGAACTTCCAGAGGTTTAAGCCAGATTCAGAAGAGGCCATGGAATGAGGGATATCATTGCTGATGTCCGATGGATCTTGGCTGAAAGCAGAGAATATCAGAAAGATGTTTACCTGTGCTTTTTGACTACGCAAAGGCTTTCGAGTTTGTGGATCATGACAAGCTATGGACAACATTGTGAAGTATCAGTATTCCTGAACACTTAATTGTGCTCATGAGGAAATCTGTATATGGACAAAAGGGTAGCTGTTTGAACAGAACATGGGAACACTGAATGGTTTAAAATTAAGAAAGGTGTGTGACAGGGTTGTACTCTTTCAGCAAACTTATTCAACCTGAATGCTGATCAAATAATCCCAGAAGGTGGTTTATATGAAGAAAAATGTGGCATCCAGATTGGAGGAAGACTCATTAACAACCTGCAATATACAGATGATACAACCTTGCTTGTTGAATGTGAAGAGGACTTAGAACACTTACTGATGAAGATCAAAGAGCACAGCCTTCGGTATGGATTGCATCTCAATATAAAGAAAACAAAAATCCTCACCACTAGACCAATAAACAACAATCTTATCAATGAAGGAAACCCTCCACTTTACCAAGCAGGATGTTCTTCTCCAGGACATGCCTAAAGAAAGAGACAGTCTCACCATTCTGGTTTCTAGGCAACGTTCTGGCTGTACTTTTTCCAAGACAGATTTGTTTGTTCTTCTGAAGTCTATGGTATATTCAATAATCTTTACCAATACCATAATTCAAATACATCAATTCTGTCTTCCAAATTCAATGTCCAGCTATCATATGCAAATGCTGTTGTTTGCTGTCGAGAGTTGGTTCCGACACATAGCGACCCTGTAAAGAGTTTTGGAGAGTGGCTGGTAGGTGTGAATTGCTGACCTTGTGGTTACCAGTCCAGTGCTTATCCTACGATGGCCACATTAGGGTTCACATGAGGTCCCTGAAAATACCATGGCTTTGGTCAGGTGGACCTTAGTTCTCAAAGTAGCTTCTTGGCTTTTTAACACTTTAACCATTATGCTTAAATGTTAGCAAAAACATTCTGAAAGCTGTTTTCAGAGAATATTCTGTAAAAACACAATTGCTGACAAATGAAAATACATATGACAGGGAATTTAAAAATTGTTCAGATCATTTGCCTATCCAACATTTTAAAAGCAAATTTTCTTTAGCGATTTGAATGATACCAGAATCTGTGAATGAAGAATCAATGAGGTCCTGAATCTTGCATAGAGAGTTGTTGTTAAGCGCCACGGAGTCCGTTCCGACTCATAGCGACCCTGTACAGGGTTTCCGAGGCTGTAAATCTTTACGGGAGCAGAAAGCCTCATCTTTCTCCCATGGAACAGCTGGTAGTTTCGAACTGCTGACCTTAAGGTTCGCAGCCCGATTTGTAACCACTACGCTACCAAAGCTCCTTTGCATAGAGAATACAAAAATACCATCATTAAATTTGTAATAAAATCTCAACTAGGTCCCCCCGCCCAATAAGTTGAAACAGAAAAGGGCAAACTACAAAAAATCATTTGTTGACAAATACGTGTCACCTTCTAGAACAGCAGCAGAAAATATACACAGCAAAACACACCAATTCAACCATCTCTGTATGTCCAATTCACTGACAATTATTACATATTTTGTGTTGTGCAACCATTTTCACTGTCCTCAGATACATTTTTTCCTCCTCGATTAATATACCTCACAGCTCCCTGAGCTTCTTGTTGCAACCTTACAAAGTGCTGTTGTCAGGTTGATCCCACACAGATAATCCTTTAAAAGAGCATAATGCTCAAGGCAGACATTCTTTATGCCGTTGATTTATGTATGACAAGAACACTGAGCTACTGCCCTTCCTGAATGATCACTCCTTTGCTCCTGTTCCGTTGCTCATGCCACATTCTGGAATACCTGCCCTTCTTTCACTCCACTGATTTTCCTGATCAACTCCAACTTCCCTCAGAAGACTAAGTTCCGACACAGCTTTCACTGGTGAGATAGAGAAAAGCACTCTCTGACTGTTGTCAGCTGAGTTGGCCTAGCTCCAACAACCAGATTAAACAAAGGCACTCCATGACCATTATGGAGTGGGACAAAAATTAGACCACTTCATAATTATGTTTGAGCACAGAAAAAAACAAGAATACCGTAAGCCATAAAAAAAGAGCCAACATTTTTCTCTCCCAGCTAAAAATGATCCTACCTTGGTATGGTGCTGCAGGATAGGCGTTGGACTGCTAACAACAAGGAGGTTCAAATCCAACAGCAGCTCCTTGGAAACTATACAGGGTTTCTACGAGTTAGAACTGACTTGACGGCATTTAATAACAACAATCATAGAATTGCTACTGCTCCAAATCCAGAGCAAAATATCTGTTCTTTAAACCCTCTCCAAATTCACCTAATACAAGTCAAACTATAACAAGCTCTTATTAACTCTCTACCAAAATAATACAACGTTCCTTATGGTATGCTCTCTCCTCATTGTAGTGAGCAAGAAACCCAACTATATTCAACTACAGATGTGATGTTTGTCCAGAGGGCATGGACACTAGGGAGTTTTGGGAACCCTTGCTTTCTCTGTTCTCAGGATGTACTGTGTTATAGCTATACAGATCACATTATATTGAAATTTTGTTCATCCATGTTTGTTCCCCTCTAGAGATCACGATTCCCATAGGAACCCAAGTCTCTTTCATTGTTCAGTTCTCAGGGTTTCACCTCTTCAAAAATGTTTCCATCAAAGGGGAATCAAGTACAGTAGATCTGTACATTTCTTGGATTCAAGATTCATGTAACACATAGGTACGTTATTTTCAACAATGTCATCTGGTTTAACAATGCATTCTGGGGTTCTGTGAAACCTACTCTAACTCCTCGTTTCTGAAGATCTCATTGAAAAGACAAAGTAATCTAAGTGTGGATAGTGGATAGAATAAGGCAATAGAAAAAACTTTTAAAAAATCTTAAACTTAAATTTTTCATAAGTCCTTAAAAATAATGATAAAAATGAACTACTAAAAGAAGCAAGCTGTTACCTATGAATGCTGAGAAAATGTGACAAGCATCAAGTTTTTTTGTTGCAATAATTGTTTACAATTCTTTTTGCCTGTTCTATAGGGTGAAATTACAATTAACATTGTGGCGGGTACTAACCTCCCCAAAGTAACTTTATTACATTACTTATTTCTTCTGTTTCTAAGTACTTGCCAACCTCTGGCAAAGACTAAAAGATGCCATATTTCTTAAAGTTCAGCAGCTTGTAGGGACATTTGTAGCAAAATTAAAAAATTAAAAAACAAATGTTAATCATTAAATTTGTAATTAATGCCTGATTATATTACATGTTGTTAAGTGCCGTCGAGTTGGTTCCAACCCATAGCGACCCTGTATAGGGTTTCCGAGGAGCATCTGGTGAGCTTGACCCGCCAACCTTGCAGTTCAAACAGCTTTGCAGTCTGGCACATTAACCCACACCAGGACTCCATGATTATATTACATATAACATTTAAAATATAATTAATGATAACTTAATGGTCAAGACAAGTTCTCTATAAAATATTTTACGCCGTTAAACTAATAAAGTGACTCTGAAGCCATTATGAGTGCTAAAATTTGCCACATATATTTTAATGTTTCCTTATGTTTTTATCATCTTCTTTTAATACACTCTAAAGGCAACTATTTTATTTCAATGGTTAAAAATTTTACTATATTGAGATATGGCAGATTTTTATTTATAATTTGTCTTTGTGCTTAAGAGGTACAAATCCAGTTTTAAAAAAAGATACAAAATTTTTTTCTAAAGATGATTTACTCTAGAGGAACAATTATAGATCACCTTTTTATACTTTACAATGATAAATATGCTATATCTTTATTAAATCACATTTATTTAAAAACATATAAACACACTGCTTGGTTTCAACTAGTATGTTTAATAACAACTTACATTTAGAATGTAGCTATGAAATTACTCACTAATTAAGATGAAAGAAACAAACAAGATTCACATGATAATTAGATTCTAAAAGGTTTAAAATGTTGAAAAAAAAGTTTTGATAGTTTTAACCTGGTTTAGAATTCCTTAAGTCTATATAAGCCAATACCTAGTACATTGATTTCCTTTGTCATGCATAACAGAAATATTTGAAAAATTTGTATCTTTAATTCTAAAGAAAAAAAAAAAAAGATTCTGAAATCGTTTCTTCAAATGTGACAAAGTCCATACCTGATTTCTTAATGATGAAACAATGTATTCCTTTTCAGAATGGGTGATTGTCCTGTGAGTTTCTGGTGTGTCACTAACTAACCAGATCCATAAAATAAACCAAAATATTCCAATTACACCTTAAATTATAAAAAATACACCAGTTAAATAAAATTGGGATGCTCTATAAACAATTTTTACATATCTTTAATTACATAACTATAATATAAAAATAGTTTCAATTTTAAGTTTTTCTTTTAATACTTTAATGAGGTAATTGCTACAAATGTATTATTTTCTAGTACCTTTTAAGAAAACAACTTCTAAGCACGACTTTGTTATCAGGGTGTATTACACAAATTTAAAAAATTTCCACACTGTATTATTTCCACAGGCATCTGTTTTTGTTTGCACTGCAGATTTATTTACTCTATGAATTATCTATGTAGCAAATAAATTTATTTAAAATGTACAGCATACTGTCAGAGACTGAGAAATGAAAATAAACTACTGAGAACACCCTACTTTGCTAGAGAAGAAATATTTTCAAAATATAGTTTTATAGTATCCAAGTTAGTCATTTAAAAAAATTAGTTGAAGTGAGGTTCAAAAATCATAAAGTAGCCATTTAAAAGTGAATTTAGTGGCATTTAGTATATTTACAATGTTGTGCATCCACTAATACTATCTAGTTTCAAAACGTTTCCATTGTTCCAAAGTAAACCCTTCTGCCATTAAGCTGTTTCTCCCCTACCTCCATGCTCTGGCAACCACAATCTGCTTTCTGTCTTGATGGATTATCTACAGGATATTTTTATCTGTCTACCTGTTGTACCCTGGCATGTATCAGTACTATATTTTGTACTTGATAATATTCCATTGTACACATATACAATTTCTTTGTCATTTCATCTGATAGTGGGTTAAAAGTAACCCACTTTTGGCTATTGTGCTGCTAGAAACGTGGATACACATGTAAGATAATGGGTTACAAGTTGCACTATAAACGGCAAGTTAGCAGTTCAAATCTACTAGCCATTCCTCGCAGAAAGATGAGATTTTTCTGCCTCATTTTAAGATCATTTTTTGAGTGCTAAGTGTGTCATAACAGTATAAGATTCAACACAGTGGTTTCTATTGTGAAATATTCAGGACACACTTCTCAGCTAGGTTTAAATCACTTTAAATCTTATCAACTTAAAAATCAAGTTACCAGAAGTGCTTTAGAGTTTTGTATATAAGTTTTTAACTAATTTTGGGATTTGTTACATAATTATTTAGAATTTTTTTTTTTTTTTTTGGACATCGTACAGATATCTTTATTCCAGTCCATAAACTAGTCATTTCTCTGAGGTTTCTTCGTTGTTTAAGAAGGGCAAATAGCAAAGAAGAAAGAAAGGAAGAAGGAAGAACATGCCTTTAAAGACTGAACCGTTATAAATTTTGTGTACCTTAGCAGGTGACTTGAGCATGATTTTAAACTGGTCTGTTTAAAGTTTATTTTGCTTGGGAAACATCTAATATTTCTTATATATTAATATAGATAGAAGGTTTTGTTTTTCTTCTTTTGGTTTTAATTCCAAGGAAAAAATGGTTCATGATCTCTAATGTTGTTATTGTTGTTAAGTGCTTAGCTGTTGAGTCGATTCAAACTCATAGCGACCCTGTTTCTGAGCAGCAGCTGGTAGGTGTGAACCTTGCAGTTAGCGATCCAATGCTCATTAATCCTCCAGCACCACACAGAAACGCCGTGATCTCTAATAGTCGGTAAAATGTTATCTCTAATACGTTTTGAACATTTTGGGTGCTCATGACATATCGTCAACTCTTGTGTTTATCTTTTTTTTTTTTTTTTAAATGTTTTATATGTGATAGTTTACATGGGAGAACATTAGCTTTACATTTATCCTATCGTATATCGTTTCATTGCAATGGTTACAATCCCCTCTATGCATCATTAACCAATCAAAGCGTATATCCTGCAAGCCTGCCCCCGGTCGTCAGCACACAGCCCCTCTTGCTCTCTGGGTCTAAAGTCCCCAGTAGATTAATTTTTAGCATACACTTACTGCTGTCTAGTCGATTGCAACTCATCATAAGGGGAGAGCAGAACTTCCCCATAGAGTTTCCAAGGCTATACATCTTGATGGAAACAGACAATCTTTCTCCCAGGAAGTAGCAACAGGGTTCAAACCACTGACCTTCTAGTTAGTAGCGAACACTTTAACCACAGCACGACCAGGGTTTCTTATCTTTAAAAATAAACTTACCAAAGAGGTAGAAGACATAAATCCAATCCATGTAGAAGCAAATTACTCCAGAAAGAGGAAGAGAAATTACTGTCCCAAGTTGTGCTCCTAAAAGACCACAAAAACACTTTGTAACTGTTGGAGATGAACAAAGGAGGGACAGGCCTACTGCTTACAAAAGAGGGTAACAGCCCTCGAGTTGGTTACGACTCATAGTGACCCTGTATAGGGTTTCCAAAGAGTGACTGGTGAGTTTGAAACACCAAATTTATGGTTCAAACCAACTTTGCAGTCCAGCACATTAACCCACAGCACCACACCAGGACTACTGGACTTTGATTGGTCATATGCAAATATAAATAATCTATTCCCTTAAAAGACCATTTATTTGAAAACTCACAATATGTAAAACACATACATTAAACTGTGGTTATAGTAATTATAACTATGTAGTGACTGATGCATGGATCAGTTTAAGATCCATTATAAGACAACTTGTAAATGCTACATGTGTTACAAATCCAAGTGGCTGGGGTAACACATTCTACTACAGAACACTTGATAAAGTAAAATTGATGCTTTTTAATAACTGAATTTGCCCTCTCCCCAATACAAACAATTGTTTCAGATAAATAATGAATAAAAAAATATATTTAACCACCAAATGCAATACATTCCTGTAGGTGCCACTGTTGGAGCTACTGTGTGCCACTGAGTCAGTTGCAACTCCTAGCAACCCTGTATAGGATTGCCAAGGTTGTAAATCTTTACAGGTGCAGAAGCCTCATCTTTCTACCTTAGAGTATCTGGTGGATTTGACCTGTCAACCTTGCGGTTAGCAGCCCAATTCATAATCCACTACACTACCAAATCTCCTTTTAGTAGGTACAGTGGGATTTAAAATGGTGAATTAGACATTGTTTCAGTTCTTAAGTTCAGTCTTATGGAAGAGATAAATGATAATTTCACAGAGTAACATGGAAGTTCAAACATGGCAAAGACTATTTCTGACCTCTAGAGGTCAGGAAAAGATATAAGAAGCAATATCTGAACTGGACTTTATATTGTGAAGTGCCGTCAAGTCGGTTCTGACCCATAGTGACCCTGTATAGGGTTTCTGAGGAGTGACTGATGAGCTTGAACCACTGACCTTATGGTTCAAAGCAACTTTGCAATCCAGCACATTAACCCACAGCATCACACCAGGACTCCTGGACTTTGAATAGATGGGTACAATTTAGTCTTAAAGAAACAGAGCAAGAAGGAATATAGAATTAGATGTAACAGATTGAGCAAAGGAAAGGAAGCAGGAAAGTACTGAGTGGGTTTGGGAACTTCACTTGGGCAAAGGAAAGGATTAGAAGAGGATGGAAAACAGCTTGTATAGTTATTGGTACTTACTTACTCCATGACAGGTACTATGTGCCAGGGACTAGCTAGGTGAAAAGAAGTAGTGAAGACTATACAGAATCTTGCTTGGCTCCTAGTTCAAGGAATCTAGACTTTATTCACCAGGGAACTATAATAATCAGGTAAAGGGAACTATAGATAGCACCTGTTCTTGAATTTATTATCAGACTTCTCATGTATTTTTTAGAAATGTAGACTATGTCATGTCCCTCCCTTAATTAAAAACCTCTGATGCTTCCCTATTGTATTTTGGTAAAAAAACAAAAATTTCCATTACTTCCCATAGCCAGCCTAGCAGGACTGACTTGGTCTGACTCTTGTCTATCCCTGTAACCACATCACATGCTATTCCTTTTTTTCATTATGTTCTAGCCACCCACGTTGGTTTCGGGTTTCTTTGGACCCCTAAATTATTTCCTGATTTTGTAGTACATGCTATTCTGATTGACTGGAACACTCTTTGCATGACTGGTTTTGCCTATCTTTCACATTTTAGCTTACAAGTCACTACAGAGAAATGCATTTCTCAATTACTTTATCTAAAAGCAGTCAGGTCAAAAATTTTCATTCATTCAAAAGAAGAAATGATAGCTCTGGGGGAATAGTAGAATAACAAACCATATATAAAGTTTATGCTATCCTTAGATCAAAATGATGGCAGAGAAATATATGGAACAAAGATGTACGAAGAGAGAGTTTGGGAGTTATGATTTATGCTTATTACGAGATTAAATTAGAAAGCATAATATAAGGACAAAAGTGCTCAGTTTTCCAATGGTTAGACTTTCAGGAAACTTAAGATTCTGTATATAAAAAATTTGAAGAAGCAACATAATTGAAAAGAAATGATGGCAGATGGAAGAAATGACAGTTGTCAACTAAGCTTCACTGCTATAGACTGATATGCCAAAAAGAAAAATTAACAATAAAATGAGAACCCCAATTTTTATTTTCCCCCAGTGGAGGCATCCAACATTAGGTGATTCTGGCATGTAGGGATCTCTCCCTGCACTCCTGCCCTCGTCCCCACCTTGTAGGTTGATAGAAACAAATTGGAGCAAAAATTTTTATAAGAATAGTTATCTCACCTGCATATGAAATGCTAAGAAGCTTGCTTCTTTCAAGAGGGGGAGCCCAGGAAGACCACATGGCATGCATGGCTGGAAATGTAACACCCTGATGGTGGGAAAAGGAGATTTCTAATGAAACATAAGCTAGTTTCATTGTTTTAAATTCAGTCAAGTATTTTGTTTCAAACTTGTTCAAAAATTTTATGGATAGAATCAAACTAGAATCAGGTTCCATGAAGTGAGATGTCTTTAAAATGTTAAGTAAAAACAAATTATAATGAAGTACTTTAATGTTGCATTAAGATTCATGGATTCTGTGAACTGGCTTGAGCATTGCATGGTACCAGTTACAGTAAGTCTAAAGGAATCTACTGAATGATAAAAGAAAGGGGTCACTTTCAAGGACAGATTTATTTATTCATTGTATTAATGGCCTGAATGAAATGGGAATGTTATCAATTAATAACTTTAGAAATATTGAACTAATTATTGTTGTTAAGTGCTGTTGAGTCAGTTCTGATGCATAGCAACTCTGTATAGTGTTTCTGAGGAGCAGCTGGTGGGTTTGAACCACTGACATTGCAGTTAGCAGTTCAGAGCTTATCCTACAGTACCATACAGGGACTCCATTGAACTAATAGTTTGGGATTAAAAACTCACTGGTGTTACAACAATTTTGACTCACAATGCATAACTGCCTATAGGCTTTCCAAGGTTATAATCTTTTAAGAAACAGACTACGTCATCTTTCTCCCTCAGAGCGGTTGGTGAGTTGTAAGTGCTGATCTTTTGATTAGTAGCCCAATGCTTAAGCTACTGCACTTACAGGTCTCCTTACACTGTGAAATACTAGAAAAATAATTCAAATTGCCCTTAATCAACCCTCTAAAAAAGAAATGAATTCAATTAGAGGGTTTATAGTCTGATTTTTTCCCCTGGTGCCATCTAGCCTAGTGAATTTCCATTACAGTATGGAGAGGCAATGAAACAGTTGACTCAGGGAGGTTCACAGAAACATGGAAATGAGGAAACATCACAGCAAAGTGGAGAAACTAGCTTTCAGTAGATTCAAATGAGTGGATTCAGAGTTCTCCTTAGCTACTTACTAACTGTGCAATTTCAAGAAGATTAAGTAACCCAGAACTTCTCAGAAGTTCACTTTTATAAAAGAGATAATATTCTTTATCTTCCGATTGTTATAAAGATAAATGGTGGTGGTGGTAGGTGCTGTCGAATTGGCCCAACTCAGGTGACTTCATGTACAACAGAACAAAACAATGTCCAGTCCTGTGCCATCCCCATGATTGGTTGTGGATAGGGCCATTGTGATCCATATGGTTTTCATGGACTGATTTCTGAAAGTAGACTGCAAAAACTTTTTACCTAGTCCATTTGAGTGTGGAAGCTCTGCTAAACCTGTTCAGCATCATAGCAACACTCAAGCCTCCAGTGACAGATGGGTGATAGCTATGTATAAGGTGCACTGGTCAGAAAATGAACATACCACTGAACTATCACTGTAGCATAGTGGTTACGAATTGGGCTGCAAACCGCAAGGTCAGCAGTTTGAAACTACCAGCTGTTCCGTGGGAGAAAGAAAAGGCTTTCTGCTCCCGTAAAGATTTACAGCCTCGGAAACCCTGTTCAGGGTCGCTATGAGTTGGAACCGACTTCACGGCACATAACAACAACAACATAGATAGATAGATGATAGCTACTGCTATCAGCACTGGACTGCGAACCACATAGTTAGCAGTTCAAACCCACTAGCTGCTCCTCGGACACACTATACACATTTGCAATGAGTCGGAACCGACTCGACAGCACCATACAACAACAAATTGTTATGACTAAGGAGTACTGGTAGCACAGTAGTTAACTACTAGGTTGATAACCCAAAGGTTTGTGGTTTGAACTTACCAGTTGCTCTGAGGGAGAAACAGTTGTTTTTAAGTGTCATCAAGTCAGTTCTGATTCATAATGACCCTATGCACTACAGAAGTGTGAGGATGGTAAAGGACACTGCCGGGTCCAGCACCATCCTCACATTTGTTATGTTTGAGCCCATTATTGCTGCCATTATATCAATCCATCCTGTTGGGGGTCTTCCTCTCTCTCATTGACCTTCCACTTTACTAAGTGTGATGTCCTTCTACATAGGCTGATCCCTTCTCATAACACATCCAAAGAAGTAGTGCCATCCTTGCCTCTAAGGAGCCCTCTTTCTGAACTTCTTCCAAGACATATTTATTTATTCCTCTGAAAGTCCATGGTGCTTTCAATATTCATTGCCAACACCATAATTCAGATACATCATAGATTCTTCTACTGTCTTCCTTACTGTCAACTTTCATATGTATATGAAGCATTGAAAATACCATGGTATAGGTCAGGCACACTTTAGTCCTTAAACTGACATCTTTGCTCTTTTAACACTTTAAGGAGGTCTTTTTTTGTTGTTGCAGATTTGCCTACTGCATTTGATTTCTTGTCTGCTTCCATGAGTGTTGACTGTAAGTCAAAGCAAAATGAAGTCTTCAACAACTTCAATGTTTTCTCCACTTACCATGATGTTATTTCTTGGCCCAGTTGTGAGAATTTTCTTTACATTGAAGTGCAATTCATACCGATGGCTGTATTTTTTAAATCTTCATCAGTATTTTAAGTCCTCTTTCCTTCCAGCAAGCAAGGTTGTGTCATCTGCGTATCGCAGGTTGTCTACCTCCAGTCCTGACCCCACATTTTTCTTTATATAATCCAGCTTCTTAGAATTATTTACTCAGCATGTTATTGTTGTGTTTGTTCTGACTTGTAGCAACCCAGTATAGAATTTCCGAGAGCAGTTGGTGGGTTTGAATTGCTGATCTTGCGGTTACCAATCCAGTGCTTATCCTACAGCACCACACTGGCATTCAGGACACAGCATGGAAAAGTATGTGAAAAGATATAGCCCTGGCATACAATGTTTTGATTTTAAACCATTCAATATTTCCGAATTCTGTTGAAAAAACTGCCTCTTGGTTTATGGACAGGTTCCTCATGAACACAATTCAGTGTTCTGGAACACTCAATCTTTGCAATGTTATCCATAGGTTTGTTATGATCCACACAGTTGGATGGATGCCTTTGCATAGTTAATAAAACACAAGTAAACATCTTTCTGGGATTCTCTGCTTTTAGCCAAGATCCATCTGATGCCAGCAATGACATCTCTACTTGCACGTCTACTTCTGGATCTGGCTTGAATTTCTGGTAGCTCCTTGTATAGCTGGATGAAATTTCTTTTGGATTACTTTCAGCAAAATTTTACTTGCCTGTGATACAAATGACATTTGGGTCACCTTTCTTTGGAATGGGTCCAAATATGGGTCTTTTCTAATTAGTTGTCCAGGCAGCTGTTTTAAAATTTACTAGGCATAGGCGTGAACACCTCCAGGGTGCATCAGTTTGTTGAAACACAGTGACTCTGTGTACTCCTCCTTCCATCTTGATGTGATGCTTCCTGCATCATTAAGTATTTTGCTCACTGAATCTTTCAAAAATTTGAAGCATAGACAGGAAATAACTAAAATGTGAAAATACATTCAGAAAGGAGATTCACTAAGATCACAGAAAATATACTGCAATGAATATATTTACATAGGTAAGAAGAGGAACCTGGTATGAGAAAAATTTTTGTGTTTTAAACAAGAAGGGTTAATGTTGTTGTTGTTAGGTGCCACTGAGTCAGTTCTGATTCACTGTTGTTGCTGTTGTTAGTTAGCGGCTGTCGCAATAGTTACGACTCATAGAAATCTTATGCACAACAGAACGGAACACTACCTGGTCTAGTGCCAACTTCACAATTGTTGCTATACTTGAGTCCATTGCTGCTGCCACTGTGCCAATCCAGCTCACTGGATTCCTTTATTGCTGACCCTCCACTTTATGTAGAATGATGTCCTTCTCTAGGGACTGGTCCCTCCTGATAACATGTCCAAAGTATGAGAGACAAAGTCTTGCCATCCTGGATTCTAAGGGGCATTCTGGCTGTACTTTTCCAGATTTGTTTGTTCTTCTAGCAGTTCATGGTTCTTTTAATATTCTTCTCTAACACCATAACTCAAATGATCAATTTTTCTACAGTTTTTCTTATTCATTGTCCAACTTTCAAATACACACAATGTTATTAAAAATATGATGGCTTGAGTCAGGTGGTGCACCTGAGCCCTCAAACTTAGACATCTTTGCTTCTGAACACTTTAAAGAAGTCTTGTACAGTGAACATGCCTAGTGCAATATGTTGTATGATTTCTTGACTGTTGCTTCCATGAGTACTGACTGTAGATCCAAGCAAAATGAAATCTTTGACAAGTTCAGTATTTTCTCCACTTATTATGATGATGTTATTTATTGGTACAGTGGTGAGAATTTTTTATTTCTTTATATTGAGTTGCAACCCATACTGAAGTCTGTGGTTTTTGATCTTTATCAGTAAGTATTTAAAGTCCTCTTTGCTTTCAGTAAGCAAGCTTGTATCATCTGCATATTGCAGGTTGCTAATGAATCTTCCTCCAATCCCGATGCCACGTTCTTCTTCATATAATCCACCTTCTCAGATTATTTGCTCAGCATACAGACTGAATAAGTACGGTGAAAGAATACAACTCTAGTATACACCTTTCCCAATTTTAAATCATTCAGTATTTGCCTGATCAGTTTAAGAGACTGCCTCTTAGACTACACAGGTTCCTCATAAGCACAATTAAGTGTTCCAGAATTCTCATTTTCCAAAATGTGGTCCACAACTTGTTGTGAAGCACACAGTCAAAAGTCTATGCAGACTCAATAAAGCACAGGTAAGCATTTTCTTATATTCTCTGCTTTCAGTCAAGATCCATCTGACATCTGCAATGATATCCTTAGTTCTATGTCCTTTTCTTATCTGGCTTGAGTTTCTAGCAGTTCCTTGCCAATGTACTGTTGCAGCTATTTATACATTATCTTTATCAAAATTTTACTAGCATGTGATAGTAATGACATTGTTCGATAATATCTGCATTCCACTGGCTCACCTCTCTTTGGAATGAGCATAAATATGGATCCCTTCCAATCAGTGGGCCAGGA